TTAGGAAGCTTAAAGCTCTAATTTGACCCCAGCGCCATTTTGTGAAGGTCACTTAAGGACACAACTCCATAACTTTTACCATTTCTTTATCGTTGGCTCTAACTTTACAATGCATTCAGGTAAGTGATCGCATTGCCCTGTGGGCTGGCACGACGCCGAGATTACCCGGAAAGCTGACAGAAGCAGCGCAGGAAGCCGAAACTACACCGCCCTTAAAACACGTTGGGCTAGCCACGAAGGGCCTCAGCTCGAGTTACTCCAGGGGGGGACAGGTTGCCAAGTTTGGCGAGTAAAGGAGGACCTTTTTAATGATATTGCGCCATGAGGCAAAAGGTTTACCGAGGGGAGCCAAGGTTAATGTGCTTAGCGGAAAACGTGCTGTAATTACTAGAGCACCAGTGGCAGAGATCCGACCGGTGTTTCTGCCATAAAGTCGCTTCGACTTTGAGTTTCGAGGTTAAAAATTATGGTCTATCATCACTGGGGGAAACATTTTAGTGCAACACCACTAACATGACCCCCGGTCGCCCCAAAATCCTTCTACCGCCCCCTTTTCATTAAAACTACCTACAAATCAACATTTTAGTTATCAGCTATCATTAAACGGCCAGTATTTTAGTAATTACATAACATAACGGCTAATTTTCTCATTCTAGTTCTTAAGAGACGAACCGCACCACATAGTTTGCCGCGTAGCCTCCAACATGGCGGCAACCGGCTGAATGGCATCCCCCTCACGTAATATCAAGGGCATACACCCTTTACAACAAGTATCAACGTGTATTCGCGGTCTACGTGGCATTTTCGCCTGATTTTGACGCTTCGAATCGCTGACTCAAGCTCAGCCTGAACTCAGCTTGGGTCGACCATCGTGCTAGTAGTACGATAAGCCGGGTATGGGTCGCCCACCGGGGCTGTCAAGGATGCTTCAATGTCGGCGTACGGAAATTGCACTTCAAAGCTGCTGTGTTGCCCAAATGTTTTCCCAAATCACACAAGAGCCCAAGTAAAATGTCTATAACGTTTAAATTACCTTATTATTCCCCCATAGCTGACTACGTAATGAGAACACAACCGGGCTATTCACCAACGTGATGTAACTACCGCTACATGCTACTGTTGCGACTCATATCCTGTTACTTATAATATAACCTGCATTCCCCTGTAAATACATTTATAAAGTATGAAATTTTACCTTTTTAAGAGAAGATGTCGGGTTAAAAATACTCTACTGTCGGTAAGTAACCGTCTCAGCCTCGGCCGACAAGCGGTTTGTGACGGTCGCAAAGAAGGTCACTTCACTTTAAAGGCACCGGCTTTCGACGTCATCACAGCCAATCACGTGCCGCGAGATTACCGCTTAACCATCAAGTGTCGCGTAGTATCATTTCTATGTTTTTTTGTTTTCAGTTTTATTTGTCATATGCAAGTTAGCACAAGGTCAACATCGCAATGAAATGTATTTGACGAGCAGAAGACAGTCACTCAGCAGAAAGGTACAGTAGAAGAAAAATAAATAAATAAAAAATAAATAGAAAAATAGAAAAGAGCAAAATATCAATATGTATCCTCATCCTTGTCATAGCTTTACTTTTATATAAAGAAGTCGTTTACTTTTTATGAAAAAAATACAATTTAAACACAGAAAACACTAATATCGTGTCTATATGTAAGGTTTTACCAAGAACGCAGCAAGTCTTGTTATGTGTACACGCAAGGCGACGAGGCTGAGAGCAAGAAAACGAAAGGGAGTTTTAGCACAGGTCCCAAGAATCTTGTCGCATTTTCTCCAGAGCCTTTATGGGGCAAACTGAACCTGCTTTTCTGGAGAAGTTTCGTGAAGGATTTTGGCAACCGAAAGTACTCCACGTTTAACTTGGTAACCAAAGATAGCCTTTTAATTTAACAAAACTGACACGTAATTTAATAAGTCACTCAATGATCGTACACACTTAGGTACATGTACTCTCCACAAACTAATTACGAATAGAAAATGAGCGCATAATGTTTACAAATTATTAAATAAATTATATTTTCTTCTTTTTATGTCTTCTACTTGTAGTTTCTTACATTGCCTTTTGCACTCTACATCCTTATCCCAAAATGAACCCTCACTCGCGAAGTGAAATGTATGTGCCCAAATGATATTTATATTAAACATGAAAGACAAAAGAAAATGAAAAAATAAATAAATAAAAAGGTTAAGTGGTAACCCTTGAGTGTTTTCTCAGGGTGACCCAATGTGTCCCCAGGATAGTAAAAAAGTCTTGTTTTATTAAACACAAGGAAATATAGCGATCAACATTCACAACATGTGAAACTGGAATACTATGACAGAAAGTGGCTATAAAATCTAAACGTTTGTGATCAGAAGGGTCATTCAGCACGTGACCCGTAAGCACCTAAAAATACACCTAGACACCAGCGATCGCGCGCGCGCGCACACACATGCAAACTAGGATGCTTTCAAAAATAATAATCTACCTGTACAGCACATCATATTTTAACAGCACGTGTTTTATTTAAAAATCATGGTCTGACATTATAGATATAACCCCACAACTTTTCTGGTCGCCTGTCCCCAGCACGAATGTGACTAACTCTATCATCTGTAACGAAGGGCTAGCTCCCTCTTATTTCTTTAAACAAACACACACAGAGGCAGACAGAAAGAGCTCAGGTAACTATTTCACAGCTGATCCCTGATGAGTGTAATCCTGTGTCAGGTATTTATAGAACACGATTAATAGGATTAATAAACCATCAGGGCTTCTCGTTTGGTGATAAGTCCCATTACTCATGTTAATTAACGTGTTAGTTACAAAACCTCTCTGCAGAATCTTTTCGTAACACCAGGGTATTTTGTAACACCTGCATTTCTCCTTCCCGTGCTGCAGAGGGCAGTAAACGCAAATGCGTGTCATCAGCGCCGCGGATGCATTTAAAACTGTCGGAATTCCTACAATTAATTCTCTAAAGTTCTCACTTGACAGCGAACAAAGCAATTCACTTTCTAAATATTTAACGATTTAAAACAAAAGTACTAAAACAAGATTTAATCTCATGCCTTATAACCATTCTCTATGCACGATTCAATTTCATTGCTTCTCTGATTCATAACGTTTTCAAATGCTTGCAAATGGCTACTACAAGCGGTAAGTCGTGAATTTTTAAGTCTCAATCTAAATAATGTTAATGAAGGAATTTACTTTTCCAAAAGTTTTTTTTTCAAAACACGTAGATAACGAGAGCGTTATAATTTACTTAAAAATTGCCGCGGAGCACATGAAGGCAGCACTAACAACTGCAAGCAACGCTGCTGTGTTTACTAGTGATGGGATTTCCGGATCATTTTAGAGAACCGGCTCTTTCGGCTCGCCTTACGAAAAAGAACCGGGTCTTTCAGCTCCCAACCGGCTCTTCAGGTTGTTTTGTTGCTTTAATTAATT